GAGAAACGTGTCTCTTTTAACATGATTGTCAGATAGAATAAGCAGAAAATACATTGTTGCTCACCATTTTAAACTTCTTTATTAATCGTTCACCAAAAATAAACTGAATGCCAAAGCTTGACTGTTAGCAGCACTTGAAATGAATCAAAAATATTTTGTTCATAAATTCCAATGCCATTGAGGTCATAATGTACTTTAGTGATTTGATTCCAACTATCTTGTTTTTTTTTAAATTGTTAATAGTAAACTTACAATTCTTAACTTATCAAAATAACTTTTTACTGCATAATAGCAAACTATGTGTGTATATAATGTATTTTAACTCAAAGTTTTGATAAAACACTTTTTATTCTCAAGCAAATGTATGATTTCACATTTTATTCATTTCAACACTTTGAAGTGCCTTAAAACAAAATCCTCATATATAGAAGATATTTCAAAATATTTAACAAGGTGGAGAAAGGACTATGGATGCCAAATGGAAGGATAAATGGGTAAAGAAAAGTATGATGTGAGCAGAAGACTTTACACTAGGGAAGGGTTTTTCAGAGATGTTTGAAAGTGGAAGGTGCAATGGAAAGGTACACAGATTGAGGGAAAGCTTTTCTAGCAAAGAAAGTATAAATGGTAGAATAAGTAGTGTCCAATGGTGGAACTGAGGGAGTAAGGCACAAGGAATTTGAAAGCAAGATGCTCTTAATGATCAAAAGTACTGTTCTGTTTCAAACAAAAAGTAGCAAGATGTCAAGCAGTGACCTTTTTTCAAGAGGGAATTAACAAAATTCAATGCCATTTCTGAAATTCCCCACCCTCTCAATATCCTCAGAGTTACCATTGACCAGAACCTAGATAGGCCAGTAATATAAATGCTGTAGCTCTAAGAACATGTCAGAGACTGGGAATTCTGAGGCAAGGAATTCACTTCCTGACTCTCTGAACTCTCTCCATCATTAATATCAGCGGTGGCTAACTTCCTTTAGGGAATGTGATGGCCTAGGGCTATAATTGCCAGAGTATTAATCCAGAGACCTAGATAGTGTTTGGCGAACCCAGGTTTGAATCGCACCATGGTGGAATTTGAATTCAATTTTTAAAAAAAATCTGGAATTAAAAATCTACTAATGACAATGAAACCATTGTTGATTGTTTGGAAAAACCCACTAATGCCCTTCAGAGAAGGAAATCTGCCATCCTCACCTGTTCTGGGCGACACGTGACTCCAGACCCATAGCAATGTGGTTGACTGTCTATTGCCCTCTGAAATGGCCTAGGATGTAATTCAATTGTACCAATCACTACAAAGTCTCAAAGAAATGAAACTGGACAGATCACCAGGCATTGAAGTAGGCACCATAAAAGACAATGGCAGAAGCAGTCCTGCCGACCCTGTAAAGTCCTCCTCACTAACATCTGGGGGCTAGTGCAAAAATTGGGGTAGAACTGTCTCACAGACTAGTCAAGCAACAGCCTGACATTGTCTTTAGGGTATGATTCCATGAGTAGGACAATGTCCCAGACACCACCTTCGCCATCCCTGGAAAAGTCCTGTCCCACCGGCAGGACATACCCAGCAGGGCTGGGGGCACAGTGATATGACGTCAGGAGGGAGTTGCTCTGGGAGTCCTCAACATTGACTCTGGACGCCTTGAAGTCTTGTGGCTTCAGGTGAAACATGGGCAAGGAAAGCTCCTGCTGATTACCATATACCGTCCTCCCTCAGCCAATGAATCAGTACTCCTCCATGTTGAACAACACTTGAGGGAAGCACTAAAGATGGCAAGGGCACAAAATGTACTCCGGGTGGGGGATTTCAATATCCACCACCAGGATTAGTATGATTACCACATGTACAACTGATTGAGCTTGTTGGGTCCTAAAGGATATAGCTGCTAGACTGGGTTTGCGGCAGGCGATGAGGGAACCAACAAGAGGGAAAAATATCCTTCACCTCCTCTTTACCAATATGCCACCTGCAGATGCATCTGTCCATGACAGTATCAGTAAGAGTGGCCACTGCAGAGATGAAGTCCCGCCTTCACATTGAGAATGACCTCCATCATGTCGTGCAGCACTATCACCGTGCTAAATGGGACAGACTTCACACAGATCTAGCAACTCAAGACTGGGCATCCATGAGGCACTGTGGGCCATCAACAGCAGCAGAATTGTACTCTAGCACAATCTGTAACCTCATGGCCCGGCATATCCCCCACTCAACCATTACCATCAAGCCAGGGGATCAACCCCGGTTCAATGGAGAGTTCAAAAGGGCAAGCCAGGAGCAGCATTGGGCATACCTGTAGATGAGGTATCAACCTGATGAAGCCACCAAACAGGACTACTTGTGTGCCAAACAACATAAGCAGCAAGTGACAGAGCTAAGCGATCCCACAAACAATGGATCAGATCTAAGCTCTGCAGTCCTGCCACATCCAGTCGTGAATGGCGGTGGATGATTAAACAACTCACTGGAGTAGGAGGCTCCACAAATCTCCCCATCCTCAATGATGGAAGAGCCCAGCATATCAGTGCAAAAGATAAGGCTGAAGCTTTCACAGCAATCTTCAGCCAGAAGTGTTGAGTGGATTATCCATCTCGGCCTGCTCCACTGGTTCCCAGCAATATAGCTACCGTCTTCAGCCAATTCAATTCATTCCACGTGATATCAAGAAACGGGTGGAGACACTGGATACTGCAAAGACTACAGGCCCTGGCAACATTCTGGCACTACTACTGAAGACATATGCTCCAGAACTTGCCGCTTCCCTAGCCAAGCTGTTCCAGTACAGTTACAACACTGTCATCTACCTTCAAATATGAAAAATTGCCCAAGTATGTCCTGTACATAAAAAAGCAGAAAAAGTCCAACCCAGCCAATTACCACGCCATCAGTCTCCTCTCGATCATCAGTAAAGTGATGGAAGGTGTCATCAACAGTGCTATCAAGCAGCACCTGCTCAGCAACGCCCAGTTTGGGTTCCGCCAGGGCCACTCAGCTCCTGATCTCATTACAGCCGTGGTTCAAATGTGGACAAAAGAGCTGGATTCCAGAGATGAGGTGAGTGACAGCCCTTGACATCCAGGCTACGTTCGACCGAGTGTGGCATCATGGAGCTCTAGCAAAACTGGAATGAATGGGTATCGGGGGAAAACTCTCCATTGGTTAGGGTCATATCTGACACATAGGAAGTTGGTCATGGTTGTTGGAGGTCAGTCATCTCAGCTCCAGAATATCTCTGCAAGAGTTCCTAGGTAGTGTCCTTGGCCCAACCATCTTCAGCAGCTTCATCAATGACCTTCCCTTCATCATTAGGTCAGAAGTGGGGATGTTCACCGACGATTGCACAATGTTCAGCACCATTCACGACTCCTCAGACACTAAAGCAGTCCGTGTCCAAATGCAACAATATCCAGGCTTGGGCTGACAAGTGGCAAGTGACATTTGTGCCACAAAAATGCCAGGCTATGACCATCACCAACAAGAGACAATGTAACCACAGTCCCTTGACATTCAATGCTGTTATCATCACTGAAACCGCCACTATTAACATCCTGGGAGATATCATTGATCAGAAACTCGACTGGACTCACCATATAAATGCAGTGGCTACAAGAGCAGGTCAGAGGCAAGGAATACTGCAGTGAATAACTCACCTCCTGGAGTGTGATAGAATACTCCCCACTTGCCTGGATGAGTGCAGCCCCAACAACATTCAAGAAGCTTGATACCATTCAGGACAAAACAGCCTGCTTGATTGGCACTGCATCCACAAGCATCCACTCCTTCCACCGCTGACACTCAGTTGTAGCAGCATGTACTATCTACAAGATGCAGTGCAGAAATTCATGAAAGATCCTACAACAGCACCTTTCAAACCCACAACCACTTCCATCTAGAAGGACAAGGGCAGCAGATATATGGGAACACCACCACCCTCAAATTCCCCTACAAGCCACTCACCATCCTGACTTGGAAATATATCGCTGTTCCTTCACTGTTGCTAGGTCAAAATCCTGGAATTCCCTCCCTAATGGCATTGTGGGTCAACGCACAGCAAGTGGACTGCAGTGGTTCAAGAAGGCAGCTCACCACTACCTTCTAAAGGGCAACTAGGGATGGGCAATAAATGCTGGCCAGCCAGCGACGCCCACATCCCACAAAATGAATTTTATAAAACTCTTTCACATGGCGGAAGTTAAATTTCATTTTTTCTCTTCCTTGGAGGGGGACCACAATCAGTAAAGAAGAACTTCATTAAATAACATTCAAAAGCAATAAATGAATAGTTTAAATGACTATTTAAAGTGCCACATAGCAAAGCTTAATCATAAAGTAAATTTTTGCCATTTTCATTAAGAAGCAGAGCTAAAGGGAATAAGATTGAGCCCCAGTTCACTATCACCTGAGCAGTGAATGGAGTCAAGCTAACGAAAAGATTAGGCACATTCCCAGCCAACCTTGACAGAATTCACACGAAAGTTGGAGTCAGAAGTGTATTGGCTTTTAGCCCAGGGTTTCTTTTTCTCACAGTCTGCTATGCTTCTCCCTTTTTCATTTCCTCATGTTTCCATCTCCCTGTTATGACAGAGGCACAGGAGGAGCAAAAGGGCAGATGGTGTAGTGGCCCAGTACAATAAACAAAGGGATTGTTAATAGTGGTAAAAGAGAAAAAAAAACTGTAACATGTGTGTAATCGTGTAAGAGGGAGGAAATTGATCCTCTGTGCTAAGTGAAAAGTAGACAAGTTGCAAACATGACAGCTGGGGGAAGTGATTAAAGAATATAAGAAAAATGGAGAACAAACATAACGGCAGTCAGAGATAGTAATAACTGCAGATGCTGGAGTCAGAGATAACACAGTGTGGAGCTGGAGGAACACAGCAGGCCAGGCAGCATCAGAAGAGCAGGAAAGTTGTTGTTCCGTCTCTGATGCTGCCTGGCCTGCTGTGTTCCTCCAGTTCCACAC